GTTCGTTTTTTCCTTGAAAAGTTTGCTTTGTCATACCGAAAATCTATCCATACGGAAATGCCTATCATTACCCAGATGAAATAGTTTAGTAGAGGAAAATCACGCATTAAAATGAATATGCTGCCAATATATGGCATATATCTAAAATAAATTTAAAATAAGAAAAAAAAAGGGAAAAACAGCTAAAGATAAAGAATTAACGTACCCTTTCACTTTACCGATAATATCCTTTCTTTCAAGCCACAATTGCCCTGGCGAATAAAGGCCACGATCATCTACTTGATTGGTATCACCTTTGGTCAAAAATTTTACATAACCATCGTTTCTAAAAGTAATAATGAGAAAAAACAAAGTATTGACAGTGATTATTTAACAGCAAAAAAATGAATTCACTTTCCATGTACTTTAATCACTCGATGAACAGTTGGAATGTCAAAACCTTCAATTCGAAATACAACAATATCACCAGCACGAACGAATTCTGTACTATAGTTAGTCAGCAGAAGAAAATTACCACGACTATTAAAAGCCGGTCCCACAGCAACACTAGTCAAAGATACATGCTTTCGATTTTGATACGTAAATTGGAAACAACCAACCTTAACGAGATGATAATAGGATTTGCACAGTTAGTTAACAACATAAGACTTTTCCAAATTATGATTATTGTTGAACTAACCAGTGTACACCTAAGCACTAAGTCGATACTCTAGTTATGAACAAAAGAATACAATATGAAAGCACGGCAAGTAACAATAAAGATTAATTACCTCTCGTAGTTGATGCATTCCGATGATAAAAAAAATGCTGTATTTATTTTCAATAAAATTCTTCACTCAGCAATCGATCAAGCAGTAATAGATTTGAGAGAGTAAAAATACTCGCTATGATTCTGTCAACATATAAAATATACTACTTTATATATAGGTAGCACACATTGATGTGGCATTGCAACAGAACTAGAAAAGGTGAGTCATTCTTTGATTTTGTCAAATATTGAATGGTGAATGAATGAATGCAAAAACCCAATCTACAGTAGTGTTGATTCATATTCTCAATCGATAGCAATATAGATGTCGTCCAAAATAAGAAACTGAATGTTCGATTTTGGTTAAATTTATCATATGACAATAAATTCCGATTATATAATCGAACACTAGGAATTCGTTGTTGGTTTAACTCAATTTATATATGTCTCCTACCATGGATGAAAAGAGCTCTTTTAAAAGAATAGTATTTGATTGTTAAGTCAAACTATTAGATGCTCAATATTTTCTCAATAATAAAAGTTTTTGCTTAGTTTAATAATTACTCTACAGGTAAAATATTTTTTCAATAACTTTATTGAACGAATTCGATAAATAAAAATTATTATTAGCAAGTGATTTGTAATTAAGACAAGATAAATTTATCAAAGATAGGCTCAAGATTTTGTAGATAGTCGTGTGGAGGGTATATTTTCTCTTTCTTACTTTCCTTCTGTTAGTGATGATAAGATATCGAAGACGAACATGTATTTTGAGAAGAATATAGGCCATCAAAACTTTTTACAATTGCAAATGGTATAGTAAATAAATAATCCAAATTCTGATACGAATTGTATTTTCAAGAGAATCAATAATTTTACTTATAAAATAGATTGATACATATCATTTTACAAGATTGTCGGAATCAATAATTACCACTACAGTAGCTAAAACAAATGGTTCAAGTAATCATTATATATACCAACTGATGAGGCACAAAATATTACAAAAAAAAATCATATAGAAAACGGAAAAAAAGAAAAAAAAACGAACGTAATTTGATGAATTTATAGGTCTTCAATTAGGAATATGGACAGCTATGTTTCCAGACAATTCGTCACAATGGAAAAATAGAATTTTCAATTGAGCAAGTTTCTTCAAAGAATATATTTGCAGACATATGATTGGTATGATAAGTAGCTTGAAATATTAAAAACTACTTCTAGCAAAAAAACAAAGAAAACGACGACAACCACGAACAATAACAGCTTCATTAATACAATAATCATTTAATTTAACTTTTGATATTTTTATATTTTGCGATGTAGATCTCAGTGTGGGTGAATGTGAGTCTGGATGAAGACTTTATCTTCAAAGCCATCTATACTCACTCTCCTGAGTCCAGTACATACAATTCGTCGTCAGCTTTATCAACAAAAATGTTGCGGAGCCAATAGTATTGATTAGATGCGTTGCCTTCTGTTCCGTTACTAACTACAACAGTATAATTTTCATAGGATGGTGCCAATCATTTTAAAACTCTCGTGTTGTTATATTCCGACGTCAATATATTTAAATGACGATCTAAATAAATGCCATTGGTTACGTTTATAATGGTAATACCTTCTGTGGAGCCATTCGACCAGAATATAGCACGATAGGGGTGGTTCATGTAATGATCGACAATGTACATATATTCAGTTTTGTCAACGGATATCTGAATCGACTTGATAATTTCAGGAACGCTCTTCACTCTATTTGAAGTCACACCATTACCAGCTATGATTACACTGCTATTGGAATCGGTTGGATATTTTAAAATGCGATGATTATTCGAATCGACAACGTACAAATTATGCTTGTCATCGATAAATATTATATTTATAGGATCGTCTAGGTTTATAGACATTGAACTTGTCACATACAGATTTTGCTTCTTTACTATAGATCAAGACTACTGAAAGTAAATCATTTTCTGTAGATACATTTGTATTATTTTTGATTGATATCGGTAAAACAAAGAAAGACTTTGTCTTGAGAATAAAATAAGAATGGAATCGATGTCGATATCTTCTGCCAAAGAATTGGACTTGAATCTTTTTAGAAGTAAAAATTTAACATGATGGATTCAAATGGATAGGATAATAAGAACAGATTCTTTGTCACACATTAGGTATTTTTCATTTGAATTTCGATTGATTTTTGTGGAACATACTCAGAAACAGTTCATGTTGGTTTCTATCTGAAAATCTTCTGTTCTCCTTTACAATCGTCACTACTTACAAACATCCTTCTTCTCACAGACAAAGATACTTTTTTATGGTTACCACAGAGCACAAAAAAAAAGCCAAAGACTTCTCGAAATCTTGTCTTTTGGTGCAGCTCATTTTCCTTACATGTGACTGTAACGTCCTACTGTTTCTTTTCATGCCTGTAGTCTAAAATCTGTCAAATGGCATTGTCATCCCACTTATTTCTACATAAAACGAGTGATCAGATGTTTTTGATAGTAGAAAAACGATTAAGAAAATCGTTCAATAATACTAATCTGATTTTAGTATTTCTTATTTATTTCACCCTACTTATTTTCATATTGTCCAACTAACTGAGAAACAATAAGTAAAAAGGGTGTGGGTGTGAATGTGGGTGTGGGGTGTGTGGGTGTAAGTGGGGTTTGGGTGTGGGTGATGAAAACACATCTACACCCACACCTACACTCATACCCACACCAACACTTACACCAACATCCACACCCACACCCACACCCCACCCCACCCACCCGACCCACACCCAATCTATGTCTTCAATGAATGATGATGATAGTGATAAAATTGAGAATGACTATCTGTCTGTAATACGTATGAACCATAGTTATTCAAAGAGCTACTTAGAGCACGTCAATCAGAAATTCAGTGCTCAAGAGAAAAAAAGAAAATCAACTCAGGCATCAGTTAGTTCAAATGACTTTGAATTTTTATTTTTCTTTCTTCCAGTTAAGTAAACAGGAAGGCGTTCGAAAAAATCGCAGACGATTACACTAACTTTTTCTTATGATAATCATGGGAAACACAAAGGAAAATATGATACCCATTAATTTCAGAGTGCATTAATACAATAAACAGTTTCATATACTTATTTCATATCGAAATGATTTCTCTTATTTTATTTTATCTAAAATTTTAATAAATTCTTTTCCGTTACTAAGAAATATCAACGATTTCGAGAAAAACAGAAATTTTCGAAAAAAAATTAGTTACTTAGTATTCAACATTAGATGAATGGTTTCGGTTCCAATTTGTCGGAACTGAAATTGGAAATGTTTTTCTTTAGTTTTACCAACCGAAACCAAAATCGGAACCGTGGTTCCTATTGTGAATGTTTTTTGGAACCGCTCATCTCTAATCAAAAGCCTCATTTAATAATACTATTGTTTTTAGAATACTGTTTCCTTCTCAAGACCTTTCTTCCAACCAGTAACATCAACACTACAGAAAAAGAAATTAACTGTAATTAAAAGTTGTGAGCCATGACACAAGAAAATGCTGCCAGATACGAGGATATATCATTAATATGCTTTTTTCCTCTTCAGGTATTCTGTTTTTTTTCAGAATATCATACCTTTTTCCATTTTCTAGGATATTCAAAATTAAATGATCTTTCTTGATTCGTCATATTTCGTTCTTTTGTTTTTATTTGTATAATTTTTTTTTTATTTTAATAAAGTATTGAGAGGTAAACTTAAAAAATGCATGCATACAATCAAATAACACTTCAGTATGTAATTTTATTCTATGGAAAATGGAAAGTTTGCCTTGCATGCAAACCATTATGCCGTAGATAAAGGCATATTTTGAAATGAGCCACACAATTCATTATTGAGACGACGCCATTACATAATTTGATGCCATAATAATATCTCGTTGATGACGCTCAACAACTATAGTGTGGCGCCATGTTTCACGTGAGACTCTTTTGTAGAACTCACGTATGTTTTCGAAGAAAATAATAGTGAGTGTAAGTTTTAATTTGACGTTTGGGGGCTCCCCCTTCCCCATTACAGACACTTAGCAACGAGAGCTTCCCATTACAGACAACCCCCCCCCCCCCCCATTACAGACATACTCCTCCCATTACAAACAACTCCCCATTACAGATATACCCCTCCTATTACAAACAACCCTCCATTACAGACAACCCCTCATTACAGACCTTAGTAAGCGCGCGCAATAGGCTTCAGACTTATTTAACAATAAAAAAGCTTGTTAGCGCAGCCCCTTTGGGGCTGAAATGTGGAACTCACATATGCTCTCTAGCCTCAATAAACGAATACACAATATGTAAAACGAGAAACCTCTCATAGACTATAGTTGTTTTCTAGGATAATCAAAAATCAGACTAAAAATCTTTCTAATTTCTGCATTTCGAACAAAAATTTTTTTCTACAGGCACCCTATTGTTATTTTGCATTGTTGCTATTCACTCGTTATTTTTAATTTTGTAATTCGTTTTTCGTAATTCAATATTCTTATGATTATAATCACTGAATTAATTAGCAAATAAATCTGTATTACATATCCATGATATTTATAGAAGATCTTATGCATCATTATATATATTAATCAGCTCACAAACAATGATGTTGATTATCTTTCAAAATTATAACTTGATCAATTTTTCAAAAAAATACTAGAACATCTGACGCCTGTTATTCCTAATTACTCAAGACCGTAATGCGAGGTGTCTGTAATGGGGGGTTTCTGTAACAGAGACCTGTCTGTAATGGGGATGGGAAGGGGAGCTCCAAAGCTTCGACTTAAAACTTACACTCACTATTGTTTTCTCCGAAAACATGTGAGTTCCCCAAAATAACAAATGATATATGAGCAAATACGCTAGCTCTTGAGGAACAAGAATATAGAGGATGTTCCCGAAGTTCTGAAGCTTTTTTAAAATGCATTGTTCTCGCTTATAATAAAAGCAAACTCTTTGAAACTTTGGGAGACTATTATACATGCTTAGTACTAAATAACTACAAAGTTTGAGATCTATAGGTTGTACTATGGATGAGAAACTGTAACAACACTGGCATGTACTATTTTTAAAATTTTTCTGGTCATCGTCAGGGTGTGCAACATTGTTTATTTTGTCTATATCTCGGCTTCAGTAAATGATAAAATCTTGACTTTTTTTTAAAAGATGCGCTGTGAAAAGCTCCACAAAAACTGTAATAACAAATCCCTATTGACTCGTGTTAATGATTTCTGCCATACTCAAAACGAAAAAGCTATACGGTAGTACTACTTCTCACCACATTGTGCGTAATAAAAAAAGTTTTGGAAGACGTTTTTACTTTCCAATAGGAAATTGTTTATACAGCTTTTGTAAAACTTTCGACGGTCCATCTTTTGGAAAAAAAAATCAAGATTTTATCATTTTCTCAAGCTGAGATATATACTAAAAAAAGGTCTTTCAAAAGTTTTTTTTATTACTTACAATTTGGTGAGAAGTAATATTATCATGTAGGTTTTTCATTTTGTGTATGGCAGAAACCATTAAAACAAGTCAACAAGGATTTGTTATTACAGTTTTTGTGGAGCTTTTCAAGGCGCATCTTTTTAAAAAAATCAAGATTTGATCATCTGCCTAAGCCAAAATATAGATATTTTCGCAGACCCGGAATACAGAAAAATATTAAAAATAGTACATCATAGTGTTGTTATAGTCTCTCATCCATAGTGCAACCTATAGAACTCAAACTTTGTAGTTATTTAGTACTAAGCATATATAATGATCTCCCAAAGTTTCAAAGAGTTTGCTTTTATTATAAGCGAGAACAATGCATTTTCAAAAAGCTTCACAACTTCTGGAACAGCCTTTATAATTAGAATTCATTTTTGTCCATATATTATTAAACAAATGAAGACCACAAAATTTGTTAAATTTTTAAACATTTTTGGTTTTTTTAAAATTTTGACGATTTTCAGCTAAACTTGTAGGACCTACATCTCTCCAAAGGAACGATAATATAAGCTGATTTTTTTACTGTAAATACAACTCATTGAGCTCTACAAAATAGGATAACGTTCGGTCGACTCAAAGGCACTTGTGGGTTTTTTGGGAGAAACCCCACGGAACGGGCCATTGGATATTGTCATAGAACCATTAGCATAATTTGTGATTATAGAGTTCGCTGTAGACATGTTTTTTATAATTAATACAAATTAATTCTCAAGGATATCTGGAAATATTTAAAATATGGAAAGCTACAATTTCGTAAATATTTTTTCTCGAATGATCAACCTTGAATAAGTCAAAAACGCGTCGTAAAATTACTTGGAATCTTTTGTCCAATCATATTCTCACCGACGTTATAGTGTTTAAAATAATTTATTGTTGTCGCTGAGTAGAAAGATATTGGTAGAAGAACGAGCAATTGAAAAACGCACATGTTATTTACTAATATAAAAGGGAGCATGAAGTGTTTCAAATACAGAACACGTTGAAAGAGCGCAAATGGCAACAACTGCAGTTGCATCAACTTCAGAATTTGCTGACGAAGATAATAAAGAAGTTAATTCAACAGTACAGACAAAATTGCGTCCTATTAAGGTTCCATGGAACTCCCAATATATGAATAATGACTTAATGCTGATCTGGGTAGATGCTCAAATAGACTCCAGTGATGATTGTCAGCATGCCAAAAAACGTCTTCGATCACTTGTCAATAAAATCAGGACATTTGTTGATGTAGATACTTGTCTTGCTTTTCTGCGCACAATCGAAAATGAGAACTTTCAACAACAAATATGCATAATCATCTCAGGCTCTTTGAGTCGTGCATTGATACAGAACATTACGAATATAAATATCGTAACTACTGTTGCAATCTATTGTTTTCGAGTAGAACTTTACGAAAATGACATCGATATAGATCATCACCCGAAATTTATTGGTTCGTTTGTTGAATTGGGGCCATTATTAATCGCTTTGGATGCACGAGTGCGATCTTTGGCTACTGTAACACCGCTAACACTCAAAAGCAATACTCAATGTCAACGTTCAATTAAAGATCTGTCACAAGAAAATCCTACGTTTATTTGGTTTCATTTACTCATTCAGTCAATTTTGCTACTTCCTCGTACTGATGCTGCGCGATCAAAGATGCTTGAAGAATGTATTCGTCAGTATGATGACGACGTTATCGAACAAAAGAAAATCCAGGAATTTCAACACAACTACCAACCTAATCAAGCAGTTAAATGGTATACACGTGACTCGTTTATTTATAGATTGATTAATCGAGCGTTGCGTATGCAAGATATCGACAACATACTCACCTTCTATCCATTTATAGCAGACTTACACGAGCAGCTCCGTACACTTCATGATGAATTTATTGACCTGGGGCCTTCTGATGAAATCACCGTCTATCGTGGTCAACTGATTCATATCCATGAACTTCACAAAATGACTGACAACATCGGCGGACTTGTTTCAATGAATTCTTTTTTCTCTACCGGTTTTAACCGTACATTAGCTCGACGCTTTGCCGGTGAAAGCGCCACAGCTTCGTCCGACCTCGTTTCGTTAATTTACGAAGTGAAGATCGATACGACAGTGCACACTGCGCCCTATTCCAACGTGGGTCAGCATACATATTTTCCGAGCGAAGAAGAGTTCCTCTTCTCAGTCGATGCTGTCTTTCGCATTGAAGCAGCTACTGAATTGAACGATGAGCTCGGCCAGTACTGGCAGATCAAGCTTCGCCTCATTGATGAGCGGAACGAACAAGAGTTAATCGAACTCCTTGATCATTGCAAAAGCGAGATCGGTGGCACTAGTTCACTCGCCTCTTTAGCTTCTATTCTTAACATAATGGGTGATTATGCACACGGCGAACGGTACTGTCGTTTGTTGTTGGATGAACTTCCTGTAGGTCATAGAGATCGTCTTGTTGCACTCACAATTCTGGGACACATTGCTCAAGACACTAATAGACAAGAAGAAGCATATGCCCATTATGAGCAGGCTCTTAATGAGTGCGAGCCTAACAATATCAATCAGAAGATTTTGGTATCTATGCCACTCAATAATGTGGCTACAATGCATTTTGAAGCTGGACACTATGATGTAGCTACAAGCGAATTTTTACAACTACTTAAATTACGTGAGACTTATCTTTCGACCGATGATCCAATGCTAATTTGTACCTACAATAATCTAGCCATTTGCTTACTAATGAAAGGTGATATGAAGGGGGCTGTTGACAAGGCAGAAAAAGCACTTACTCTGTGTAAAAAACATCTACCTGAGAATGATCCGACGCGCGCTTCAGTTGAAGGCAATTTAGGTGATGTTTACTACCAGTTAGGTCGACAAAAAGAAGGTATTTTTCATTGTGAAAACGCTCTTACTATTCAGAAACGATGCATGCCTTCTGGTCATCGTTTCCTCATCACCGCTCATCGCAATTTAGGAAATAAATATACTGCTATGGGAAATTACGGTGAAGCTCTTGCTCATCTAGAAAGTGCGCTCACAATCGAGCAACATCAAGCCAATGTGGATCCACTCTCGCTAGCCTCAACATTTAATGGTATTGGATGTGTATTAAGTGGACAAGGTCGAAAAGATGAAGCTTTGTCTTATTTTCAGCGAGTTCTTCAGCTTATTCCTGAAAATCATCCTCAACGTATTAGTGCTTTACAGCGGCTCGGTTCGATACTAGGGCAAATGGGGAAAATAGCTGCTGCTCACGACACTTTATGTCAAGCGATCACGTTACATGAACAGCAAAAAGATAATTCTAATGAACTAGAATTAGCTGATATATATCATTCCATAGGTACTGTTCAGTGTCAAAGTGGGGAATTAGACAATGCCGTTGGAAACTATAACAAAGCTCTAGCCATCCGGCAGCGTTTATTACCTCCAGCTCATTCAGACATTGCAAGACTATACAACGAATTAGGTGCTATACATTTAGACAGACGTGACTATGTATATGCACTCAACTACTTTCAACAGGCTAGAGTAATAGAGTTAGAAACATTACCAGAAGGACATCTCGAGTCAGCGCGTACACAACACAAAATTGGCTATACTCTGTTTGAAATGGGCAGGGTTTCCGAGGCACAAATAGAAGAAGAAAAAGCACTTGCGATCCTGCTTGAAAAAAAACAAGTTTACGCGAATCATCCGCTACTTAACAGTATACGGAGGACTCTCAGCGTAATACGTATCACTATTGCTACCGCGCATCAAGCACCAGCAATTATCCAACAAGAACAGAATGAATGGCAACAAAATCGCTAACCTTCTCGTAGGAATATACACAATTCAGTCCCATAGTAACTCTGGACGATATTTCTTGTTTAACCCTTTGAGGATGGAATTCTTTTTAATCGAAAAAAAAACATTTTTCAACCTTTTTACTTTATTTTAACTCAAAATGGCTACATAAAAATCTTATGATAATCAAAAAAACATTTTTTTTCATCTTTTAAACAAAATGGCAATTTGCAAGTAAAGCGCTCGATGTTGGATCGAAAATCTGCTTCCTTAGTGTTACAATAAGCACGTCTTCTTCTTTTCCCTTTCACAGGCAAATGCATTTCATTATCAAAATTAAGAGTAGTTTTTGGTGATGCTAGTTTAGACTTCGTTTCAGAAGGAGGTCGTCCACGAGTTATTCGTTCACTGCCGGAAGCAGAGAGACTTCACCACTGACACCATGTAGTTTAAGTATGTTAATTTGGGTGCGGGTGTGGGTGTGGGTGTGGCACTGTGGGAGTTAAAACTAGCGTAGTTATAACCGATCAACTTTTCGGCCAAAAAGTTAATTGAATTGTAACTGTCAACCATGGTTATAACCTTCAACCCGAGTTATAACCTTTAACCCGAGTTATAGCTATTAACCGAAGTTATAACCATCAAATGCTTAAATTTTGTCAATCTCACTAGTATTTAGATCTTTAGAATCTGAATTATAGAATTTAGTAAAGCGACATTCTTAAATACAATTTTCTTTCATTTCGTTTTTATTATTTAAAACGTATTCTTTTCTGCTAAAAGAAAAGACGATTTTAGCTTAACATAAATGCATGTAATATTCCCTAGACTGAAAGGCTAGGGTCTAGAAACCGTAATTCACGTGTGTCTGTATGTCCGTCTGTCTGTCTGTAACAAGGGGTTGGCACAAATGACCATTTCTATGGCACAAATGACCATTTCCACGGCACAAATGACCATATCTATGGTACAAATGATCATTTTTATGGCACAAAATGACCATTTCTATGGCACAAACGACCATTTCTATGGCACAAATGACCATTTCTATGGTACAAGTGACCATTTTTATGGGATAAATGACCATTTACATGGCACAAATGACCATTTCTATGGCATAAATGACCATTTTTATGGCACAAATGACCATTTCTATGGCACAAATGACCATTTTTATGGCACAAATGATCATTTCTATAGCACAAATGACCATTTTTATGGCACAAACGAGGGTGTGGGTGTGGGTTTTCATCTGCTCTGCAACTACACCCACACCCACCCCTGGTCTTCATCCTCAGGCCCTACGATTAGGGATGGGGGGGGGGGGGGGGGGGGGGGGGGGAAGCGGGACTATTTCCCCCCGCTAATTTTTTTTCTTATGTATTGGCTTTCTCCCTGAGAATTTTAGGAACAGAGCGGTTTTTATCTTTTAGTAAGCACGATGAGCTATACACACACAAACTTGTTGTATTTTCTGATACAAAATAGTTTTCTCTGAATACCCGCAAGGAGAATTGCTTGCTGCATTACATACGAACTATTTTCTCCCTATGTGTATTATTTTCTCCTGCAGTGTGCACTATTTTCTCTTTCTATGTGTACTATTCTCTTTGAGTTTGGTCTATTTTCTCTTTAAGTTTGGACTATTTTCTCTTTCAATGTGTGCCATTTTCTCTTTGAGTTTGGACTATTTTCTCTTTCAATGTGTACTATTTTTTCTTCAATTTGAACTAATTTCTGTTTGAAATTTTCAAACAGAAAATGAATCATTTGTAAAGGAAATAAAAACAGGTAAATACTATCAACGACATTTCTTGATCGAAAATCTCTATTCTAGGTTTACAATATTTTATATCAAGATTGAAAATATGTCCAGCTCTCAAAAAGGACTTTGTCCTGTTTGTCGAGTAAGGGTTCAAGTGAAAAATTTTAAACGTCACTGGTGTACTCATCATGAAAGAAATGAAAGAAAAAGAACATATGATGAAGTTTTCAATACCTTAAAGACAAATATTTCAAACCAACACAAAATTACCACAACAACAGGGTGTGGGTGTGGATGTGGGTGTGGGTGGGTGTGGGTGGGTGTGGGTGTGGGTATAGATCTTGTCTTCATCCACACGCACCTACCCACACCCCACACCCACACCCACCCACACCCACACCCTGATTACGATGATATGACCATATTACGACAAATATTCGAAGACATATTTGCTCAATTAGAAAATGAACATCATGTTTTTCATATAAATTCTGTTATAGATCACAATGATGATTTAATATTAACGGATAACTCATCTCTTGGTATGATTAGTTCTAATATGATTCAGAGTGAAAATATGAATGATAATGATACTTTAATGTCATTCAATGATTTAATAACTGATGCTATTAGTCCTGATACAAGTTATAAAAATATAATTGATAATGAAGCATGTTGTTTATCGACCTATATACCGATTAATCGTCCAGCTTGTATTAAAATATCATTACCAGGTGTTCAATTTATAACAGATCGAGAATTAGAATTTGTTGATCAACAGCGATCATTATTAAATGATAATGTTTGGTTACCAGATGGTGCTGCTGGTAAATTAAAACTAAGTTCAACATGGTTTACAGCAGCAATAGCAACCTGGCTTCGTGCTGTATATTCGGAAAAAAATATGGATTGTTATGTATTATTTGTGCACAAGAAGCCAAGTGTAACTCAAGATTAATAAAAAACAAAGGAGCTTTTATTTCTCATCCTTACTGGAAATTGCTGCACAAACGTCTTGACGGTATGATTAACTATTAAAATTTTTCAATAGTTTCTTAATGTACTGAGTCTAAGTTTTTCATACGACTAACATCATCAAAAAATGACATTCAGGTTTCGGTGAAGCTTTTGATAGCATACTGGATCAAAATCAGTTTTCAAAACTAGTGCCTTATTGGCAGATTTGACAATTTGATGTACCAGTTTTTCTTAGACTAGTTTATATAATTATGACGCTGCAGTGTTTGTCAAGATATGTATTATGTTTGTTGAGGTTAAGCTGATAGGCGAATCCAAGTCTCAGGAGCTTTGAATTGTATCGCTGTAGTTGATTAAGAAGAAAGAGTGTGGGTGTAGGTGGGTGTGGGTATGGGTGTGGGTGTGGGTGGGTGTGGGTGTGGGTGGGTGTGGGTATGGGTGTGGATACGTGGATGCGAGTAGGATGATATAACAAAACTTACACCCACACCCAAAAACAGAAGATGTTCCTTCCTTTTCTTCATCATGTTTTTTTTTGTCTTACTATCACATTTCTTTTCTTGTTGCTATTCCTCAGCAGTAGTCAAATACTTGTCGAAGCAGGTCATTCTGTTGTTTTATGTGTTAACTATGATTTTGAATTTATTATAATGACATATGCCTGAATCTGGCGTGTATAATCCCATTTGACCATCAAGTGTGCTCTTGTCTATTGTTTAGCTCCCACTGAGTTAAATTTCTTGAGATTAGTATTGAGTTGTAACATAAGTTCTGAGTTCTATCTATGATAAAAATCTCAGATCTCTATCTATATCTGCTCACGAGATATAAAGCCTAAACTTTATCTATAAAATAAGAAAAACTTCTCTAAACTTGTGTTATAACCCAATACTTAAATGATCTACCACTCATGCTTTATGAGTACCTTTAAAAACAGGCTTCTATGTATTAGTATTGACAAACAATGCTTAAAATAAGTGATGTTATGTGAAACACGATCTGAAAGCAGTGTTGAAGTGTATAGGAGTAGACATTTTCGACCTCTTCCGTACATAGACGTGGCAGACATCTTATGTATGGTTCATTATAGACGGACTAGACACCTTAGCAGCAGTTCCTTTCCGTTATAGACTGTGACAAACGCCTAAGTTCTTTCTCCCTCTCCTCGTTTATAATATCAGTAGCTCCATCGTGTTTCACATTTGAATCGCACAGGGATTGCGCTAATAGCTTTTGTTACTTTTTCATATATTTGCATAATAATTTTTTATATGCTTCTTTTTCTTGTTCTTTTTTCTGAAATGCAATCTAAAAGCCATGTCCAAATATGTACTAGTTACAATTTGGACCGATCCATCACAGATACAACAGACATCCTAGCAACACCTCTTCACCATCACAAATTTTGACAGGCATAACTACGACATCAAAGCCCACTAAGATATTAGTATGATAGGTTTCTTTTATCTTTCTTTTACATTCACCAGAACATATTGGTTCATATTCCTCATCATGGACATGCACATAGGGTAGAGAGGAATTCATAAGTCGCAACACGTGTGATTGATCCTTTGATTTACAATATCAGTAGTTTCATCATGTCTTACATTTTTATCCGACAGAGAGTACGGTGATAGCTTATTTAAAAAATAAACGACGTTCATATATTTTGAAATGAGACAGATCGAAGTGGCATACTTTCGAAAATCTTATATGTTATAGACATAAATATCATTGTATTCTTATTACAAAGTATTGCCCAAGTATTTCAAATCCTAATGTCTTTGTACTATTTCACGACATAAAAAGACCAACTGTGCTCAACACATACTGTTGCTGTCTATCCTAGTAAGAGAGAATAAAAGGATAGAAGCCAGTTATTTAATGGTATCTATGCCTTGTTTGATAACTACTTCTAAGAAAAGTACTCTACATAACATGTAAATCATATATATGTTTATCCAGTTTTGTTTGGTATTCTTTACTGCCTTCGTTGATATATAAGTGTAGTTTCTTTAGTGAATTCTGTAGTACAATGTGTCCTTAAATTGTTCTACATACTACGATTAATAGACTCGTTACTCTCTCTATATATATGGTCTCATTAGTAGAAAAAAAATAGTACCTTGGGAAAAAAACCAAACAGTGAGATATTAGCATTCATGATCATTCTAACTATAAATAATTAGTGAGGATTTTTGTATAATTTTCAACTAGAATCGATTTTCTTAGCATATTCACAGTCCATCCTTTTTTTGATTTGAATAATCATGCTCGAGATTAGAAAAAAGGAAAGTTGATTGAAATTAATAATATAATTAGATCTTTAAAATTTTTTTTCTATGATATTTTATAAAAATTAGGTATAACCGTTGAGTAAATCTTATCTAAAATAGTGCTGATTTCTCTTATGTTACGGTATCAGTGGTGAGCACAGGACGACTTTTTCTGTCCTGTCCTGTCCTGCCGCTCCACCATCACTGGTCCTGCTGAGCGGTAGGGCAGGACAGGACAGGATAAGACATGAAGCAGGACAAACACAATTAACTATTTTGTTTTTTAATACCACACATATCTTAGAAAAAACTGCATATGAAACAACTCACGAAGAATTTCATCATCATTATTATATTCCTACAGTAGGTAATATCAACAACAGAAAAATAGTAAAACGATGAGTGGGTGCCTCTATAATGTATGTGTTACAAATAAAAAAGTGTCATACATAAAAAATAAAAAATATACTCATTAGAAAATCTTTTATATTTTTACATATATTGTACTAGTAAAACATTATCTAATTGTTCTGGATTGAGGTTAGTTCGTATTTCTAGTATAGGTAACTCCACTCCATAAAATTGTCTTTCGATTCCTGACTAGAGCTACTCTGGTCCAAACTTGTCAAACCCAAACTCACACTTGAACAGCAGTCTTAAAAGTTTCAATGAATTTTTTATAACTTAATTTGATAGTCGTACCGCAAATACAAGATACTTTTTTCAATTATTTTTATTAGCGACTAACACAACCTATACATTTCTCAGGCAATATTGCCAATGATCCTACAATACTCAAGTTATAATTGGATCTTATTCTTAAATAGAGCCAGTTGAATCTAAAATTTTCGGACTCAAGTTCAGACTCCGTCAACACAATATTTTTAGATCTGAGCCGATCAACAGAGAATTTTCAATTATGAATCCAGAGAGAACTCGACCGAGTTCAAGTTCGACATAATGGACTCTGCTCCAACACTTTTATCAACTAATGCTAAAGTTAGCACAGTTTATCATTTCAGTAGTACATTTAAAGCTCATCGTACACATCAAGTATAACCAATGGCGATACGTACTATGCAAAAATTGTAGAAAAAAATGACATAAAAAGAGCAGGACTAACTTATTCATCCTGTCTTGTCCTGGTGAGCGGCAGGACAGGACAGGGCAGCAGGACGGTCGTACCGTCCCGTCTTGTGCTTACCTCTGTACAGTATACATAAAATATTTGAAAGATAAATTTCAAGACAATGTTATTCGTAATTCAATAACGATGTATTAGCAAAAAAGACAGAAACTGATTTATTAAATAATCAACTTTTGTATTCGATAAAAAATAATACATTTAATATGCTGAAACGTCATATGCACAAAATAATTTATTACTCATCAGACAAAGTATCAAAGTTAAATTGATAAATTAGTGATAAAAACTAAAATAAAATAAAATTTTGAAACATTATTCAAAATATCAACTAATCTTTCCATTAAATGAGATTTTTATTCCATCATATCGTCATATCCAATTAGGAGCAGGTCGACTATCATCATAATCAACAATTGAGTGCAGCTTCCATTATATGAAGTTCTCTCAACAAACAACTTTATGTTTATGAATAATATTCATTTGAAACAACTCATTATCACTTGTTAAATTGATTTATATTCGGCCAAGAAGCAATAAGATGACAGTTCCTGTAATTTTTTCTAATAAGTGATTTTGTATGGTCATCTTATCCGTCATTATATTTCCTTTGGTTCATTCTCAATTTTGATCAAAACTTCCGCTTTCACTCTCATTGTCGATCTACTCATTGATTTGATCATCGGTCGCAAAAAAGAAAACACAATTTCTCGTATACCTCAAATTGAAAGAAAAAAATATTGTTAGAGAAAAATAGACGTGTTCGTGGTCATGATAAGTGAACCAAACTTTTGTGAACCAAAGTGCGCTACTGTCAACGCGTCGAGTTTCAAATCACGTCGATAGTAGCGCACTTTGGTTCACAAAAGTTTGGTTTACTTATCATGACCCGTGTTCGTCTAATATTTGATTATATTCGCCGTATAGAGTTTGATTTCGTCAAATTTGTTCACTCTCGAAGAAAAAGAAAGAAAGATATACTCGTCTTTTTTTTTTCTCGTTCATTATAAAGAGACTACTATATCTTATGTGTTGAATATTGATTATTATATCATTGCATCAATATATTGTTATTTTTTTATCTTATGAAAAAATTCTCAAACAGGTAAAACAATATCTGGTACGAGTTTTCTGTTGATAGAAACTCGATAGAAGCTATATTTCTACAGCTGAAGCCGATCTTCAATCAGAGACAAAAAATAAAACTTTGGATCCATACCTTAGTGAGACCACGGTTGAAAGGATCTGCAACTGTCTAGTACTACTCATCCGCTAATGAATAGTATTTATATTTGTACTGAAATGATGAGCCAATACTCGTACTCGAAAAAGTTTCTAGTTGCATAACAGTGTAAAGAAGACACTTGTCTACTTTTGATATTTGTAAAGGCGGTTGATTACATGGCGTGCAACAGTTAGAGATCTTCAAAGTGGTTGCGATTCTGCCGAGACTAAAACTTATCCATACTAGTGGTGATCAAGTTTTATTAAGTATTTGTAAAAATCGACGTTTTTGAAAATTTGAATGGTTTCTCGAGTAGGAAAAAACATAATATACATAGATTTGATTCGACAGTAGATTAGATACTCACTTATATGTACAAGTTTTTATCATTGTTCTACTAGATTTTTAGTATCAATTGTTTTACTTATGGATATTTGAGAAAACTTTGCTATTCATTGACAGTAGAAAAAAAAAAACTCGTAAAACTTAGACTTAATCTTGCAAAAAAAGATCCGAAACAAATCCTAAAAATAGAAGTCTTAATTATTCATATCACAAATATTTATTTTTTTCATCCTCAAGCAGTATTGGATCAGTCGATATATATATAGGATGTGTTTAATTTCAGAAAAGAATCAATTTTGCGTTTTTATATGTGTGAAAATAGAACATTTTATTAGCTCTAATCAAGATCGAAACTAAAGAAAATTTTAAATTGATACTTGATCTGAAAAATATCATTTTTCAGATTCCTAACAACAATAGGTTTACTATTCAGTCGTTTAGTTATTGTAGCAAATTTTTCTTCTTTCATTCAACACATTGAGTAGGTCAATTAAACAAAATCGAATAGTTCGGTAAATCATCAGATTTGACTTTTTTGTCATAGAAAAATATGCCAAAACTTTATCTTTCACAATACACATGAGTTTGTAGGAAACAGTCTAATTTTAACAGACTTATCGAAAGAAGATTCGACAAATGAATATATAACCAAACTTTTTGTTTTTTAGAGTAAACTTTTATCGAACAAGATTTTTTATGTTCGATTGATTTGTTAAGAAAAGTGGAATTTCGTTTCGATATATTTTCATTATTAATAATGAAATTAATTTCCTCTACGAATTTGAAATAAGAAAGTAGTTTGATCAGATTTGATCATTCATTTTTTCAAAAACTTGGTTTCTAAAAATAATTATTAACTAAAGCAAGCGACAAAGAAAGATAGATGAATGGTAACTGATAGTCTTTATGGAGAGGGAACTTACCTCTTCTACGAACGGTTTAGCTTTGGTTGAAAAAAAAAGGCTCAAGTTCCTCACGACGTCACTATTAGACGGATAGTTGAATTTGTATATGTGTATTAATAACAATGTATTTTGTATAAGTTAATAAGAGTTCTGTTTGTTTAGAATAAAATGATAAATACATTAGAAAGTCTGGCAAATGAAATTCTTCTTAATATATTATCGAATTTGACATGGTTTGAAATGATAGAATCATTTTGGTCAATTAATAAACGATTTAATTCTCTTGTTTGTTCAATATTTTCAATAAATTATGGTAGAAATAAAAGTGGAATTATTATTAGTGAAACAGATTTATCTTTAAATAAATATCAGTTAATATTATTGTCAATAATTTCTAATTCAAATCTTTCTATTTCTATACAACGTATTTATATTGATGGAGCAAAATCAGTTTTTTTTGATCTTATATCTAAATGGATTTTTCAAGAAAATCTTATTTGTTTTATTAATTTGAAATCACTTATTCTAACTCGATGTTATCTATCAGAAATCTTAATTAATAATTTATCTTTACTTATTCAATATCAATTAGATGAATTAATCTTAACAATTGATGAAGATAGTCTTGAAATGTTTTACTATGAATACGATTCTGGCAAGAATGGACGTGATCAAGGTAAATTGAAATTTTTTCGTCAAACAATTCATTTTATCATAAAAAGTCTTAGAAGTTGAGAAATGAAAACAAATGAAACTCATAGATTTTGTTGTTGAAAAAAAAAATACTAAAGATTTATTCTTTGTTTTTTTTTAATGACATAGTTCAAAAATTGACAGTCATATGTCAAGAATTCATACATCAACTTTTTTCATCTAAATGTCAATTAACCCCCCTTCAACTTGATATTTCACAAGACAATTCTGTTTTTCAAATACATAAATGTCTTTCATCATCATCATCTTCTGATATTTATTCAAATCAAATCGACAGTCAACTTGTTACTAATTGTATGACTCTTCGTCGTTTACACATTCATGTTATTCATGGTTATTTTATTGAACATATTATTGAACATGTACCTGCTCTTGAAATTCTTTCAGTTGTAATTGGAGATTCATTGGCCCAAGAACAATTATATCATATGAAGACTAAAAAGTTCTCGTCAACTATTGTCAATTGGTATGATAAGGTAAAATAAACGAAACATAGTGTAACCATTGTTTAATATGAGAAAAATAGATTATTCATATGTAAATCTTCCCAAACGAATTGCTACTTCTGTGTAAAATTACAAAATTCTTTTCACACGTCCTATACCAGAACTACCAACAGGCCACATTTTTCTGCCCTGATCTAGCCTGCAGACAAGGCCGACTACTGTTTCTAATTTCTCGAGCCTATCAAATTCTGTTGCTCTGCAATTTAAAGCTCTTTGAAAACCAACAATTTATCAATACGAATCAATAGTTGATGACGCTTTATTACCAAAGATATCATAGTAGTTTTTTTTTCGTGTTTTAATAAATTTATTTATTTAGTAGAATACAATAATGATTCCACAGAAGAAGCGAATAGATAGGAGTGGGACTGTCACTTTCTTTTTACTTTCAGAAAGGAAAGGAAAAAAAAAGAACACATTCGGAGTCAGCATTAAATTCTGCGTCTAATGAACTGTGATTCCATAGAATTGATAAAGGAATTTTTTGGATGGTCGTGAGTCCCCATATGCTGCACAACAACAGGAGAGAAGTACCTAGCTTTACTCTATAGTTTTATTCAAGATTTAATGCTGATCTCGAATATGCTCACTTTTTCCAAAATAAAATAATTAATTCAACTTTTGAAAAAGGAGTTTTTACTTTCCTTTCTTTTTTTGAAAGAAAGTGAAAGTCTCACCCATACGAATGGCAAAACATTTAGATCTAGTTTCTGAATAGATGAAGCAGATGAAGACGATAAAGCACAACTGCTGTCATGCGATATTGCTGTATTCAAATTCTCGAGTACATATAGATTATGAAAAAAAAGAGTTATTTTGAACTGAACAATAACTTTGTTTTATTCTATTGAAATAGTCATTTATAGCTATTATCTTTCACTCTAATAGATCTTTGGTTCTGTAGCAGAAAAAATAATATTAAATCATAACCAGGCTAAAGACTTAAAACTCCACCTAATCTGGCGGCATGATAGCTCTCTTCTAGACTAATCTTTTGGATTCTGATAGCCTGTCATTCCAGTTTTCTTATAGAAAAAAAATGACGTATTTGGCGATTGTTAGGAAAGGAAAATTTTTTATAGCTGAAAGGAATTTCTAAGAGAGTCATGTCCTAATAACTAGAGTTCTTTTTTTATTTTTCATCCGATTTGAACCAAAAATTTCAGTGAATGTTAGTCTTGACTATGATAGATTATTTGTACGATTTCTATTTTTGTCAATAGTTAGGTCCTGTTGAACGATTTATATCATAGGAAAAAAAAAGATTTCACTTTAAAAGAAATGTATTTTCGAGTAATTATTTATTTAATTATAGATTTCAAAATTAAAATCTTTTACTTTAAACAGTCACATTCTTGTTGATTCTCAGTTTGAATATCTAAAATGGATTCTTAATAATGTTAATTATGTTGAAAAATTAAAACTTCGACTTCATGTAAATTTAACATATCAAGAAGATTCAATGAAAAGACATTGTTTTATTGATGCCAATTTTATTAATGAATATTGTATGCCTGATATATCGAGAAATTTAATTGTTTTTAATTTTTATATTCTATTCAAATGTGAATTACTATCGAATAATAATATTCAAACAATAGAAAACTCATTTAAAATTCATCGATTTTTTTATTGATCATCATTGGATAAAGGTGAAATGTTTCTTTGATCCAATAATGTCATATCAACATATATCATCAACTAGAATGATCAAACCGAAATTCTTTAATAGTATTAAGTAAGAAGATTCGTTTTGTAAAAGTCCATAGAATTTATTTTTGCATCTTTTAGAAATTATTCACATATTTTTGATTGGCAACATATGAAATCTGTAGAGGTTGATTTATGTCCATCGATTGATTTATTTCTCGAACAATTTAATATTTTATTTCCTCATATAACTTCTATTCAATTTAATGTGGGTCAGTATTTAGTTAAAGTTAATAGTTGAATCAAAAAAAAAATGAAGTCTCGAAAAAAATTTCGTTTCAATGAAATCGTTCTAGTGTACTGTCGTCAGCTGTCAGAAAATAATATTCACATAGCATTCATATAATGATTGAAGCTAATATTGTTAGGATAGTTATATTATTGTTTACACTCATCAATATAATCCAAAAGAACTTTTTAAATTCACGTCTGATTCAGAGTCAAATCAAACTGATCAATTTCTAGAGAATGTATTGAGAAAAGTACCTTAGACTTTTTCCATCAGTAAAATACTATCTTGTAAGAATCTTAGTAGTGAGATTCGAAAATTCCTATAATACTGTTTTCGTCTATCCATAGAATTATCTAGGGTTAATTTGACGATATTATTAGGACTCTCGATGTTCTTTAGGAGTGGGAGAGGGAGAGAAAGTTGAAATTTCTCAAACTCAGGGACAGCATGAAAGGTTCCTACCAAGGGGAAGGGTGCTGGTGAAAAAAGGAAAGAGATCAAAGAATTTTTTTGTCGTATGGAATAATTATAGGTTTTTTTTTCAGAAAATTTTCTAGAAAGTGCCAATTGAAGACTTTTTTCTCCTCTTCACTGTGGTTTTCTAGGTGGACTTCCTATGTTGAAGCTCCTAAATCGGCGCAACTCGCTCTCAACAGTGGAGGAAGCATGCCTAAAAAACGGAGAAAGCATTTGACAAAATCAAAGAAAATGTCAGCCTGATTTTCGAAACTCAAGGGTTAGGTTACTCTCCCGGTTGCGTAGTCGCTGCATAGACTATCTGGTAGAAAACAGCAGGCAAGAAGCTGTCTACTAGAGTTTGACAGACCATTTTAGGACTATCACTACAGATGTTCGCAGACACGACGTTAAAAAGTAAGAGAGACTAGGTCAGTTTTCTTCGCCCTCTCATCGTTAGACTTCAACTTAGGTAAAGTTTTCATTTTTCTATAGGACCCAAAGAATTTGTCCGTGACTTTGAATATTCCATGTTTTTACAATCATCATTGAATGTATTGCAATGCAAACTGACCAATATTCATCTCCAATACATTACAAGACTTGATATTGGATCTCGCTTTTACCGTGGTTCTGGTAAGTCATACTTTTTAGCTTTCGTAATATTTTAGAATCCCGTAAATCAGTTGTTCGTTTATCATTCATTAGTATAAAATAACTAAATGCTGTGCACGTAATTTGCTCAGTTTGTAAGCATTTATACAAGTGTCTTAGTGTGTTTAATAGACAACTTTCACCACAAAAATGTAATTTGTTTTGTTCAGAAAAAATTAAGATATTGTTCTATGTTATTAATAAGAAATAACTAGAAGTTTAGTCTTTGTTCACCAAACGTATGTTATTCAGAGATGCTCACAGACAAGGTAACCTTATTCTGGCTTGTCCTAGGACAGAATAAAAAAAATCTTTTTTTTTACCGTACCCTGAGAGAACAGGGTAAGATCTTCACATCCTTCAAGTTTGTACATCAAGTTTTTGAGTTTCATCTTCAAAAAAAAAAAAGCGTTTTTTTGAGTCTTTGTAGGTCAAAAAACGAAAATAGGTTACAGAGCCGATAGCAACTAGTACTTTGAGTTATTCTTCATCGATATACATTCGAATGAACATGGTAGAAATCAAAAAAATAAATCTAATAATTTTTGAAAAATTGTCTTTGTACTGTGCTTGTTCTCTTGAGTTTACCACATTGAAAATATAGTTTTACTTATGAGTTTCATTTCGTTTGGTTTTGATGATATTCACTTGCGAATAGCAGGTTTCAGTGTCAAAGTGAACACGGATATCGATGTCGCTGACGATGTAGATGTATTGTAGTGTAAGTGCAAATATGGCATTAAGGTAATACTTACAATCACTTCACAGTGCATCGACTACTACCGCTACATGGGTCACACGTACACTCAATAAGAAGGCGTATTGATTCTACAGGATGGTACCATACACTACTTTGCTCGATCCAGTGCAGCAAGTCATGAAAGAATAGGATGGGATTTGTTTGTTTTTTATCACAAGGGCAGAATGTAAAAATTCGCTCTGAACATCTTTAATGCTGTTGGATACTAGTACTGGTCAATCTAATCTAATACAGAACATTATGTGGTTGATATGAGAGGATCAATTCTTGTAAATAATTGATAGAAATATATTTGTAAAAATATTCTTATTGGAATAATAATTATATATTTTCACGGTACAATTATAAATCTATTGATCACAATACAGTACGAGCAGAAATACTTGTTTATCTTATATCAATGCCAATTTAATTGATTTATCTTCGAATTGAACATTTTGAATGGCTTTTGCACATTGTTTAATATGTATGTATTTTATTAACTCTTACTCTTCTCTCTCTTTCTCCCTGCCCCGGAGTGTCTACGCTTGTGGATATTGGCATAAGAACAATTGAACAAAAATGAGAACGTTTGGTCGAAAATGAACTCTTGATTGGTCATAAAAGCTAATCATTTTTTTTATAGAACTTCTAATGAAGCTATTTAAAATTCAAAATGCAATTTTTCTGCTCTTCGAGCATTTTATAGAAGCTTTTGCGTTAGTCAAAGCTCAGAATCTTTTCCGATCTGAAAACTCATGTTTGCAGATCAAATGAGAGATTTATCATTTATTGAAAGTACGTAATAAAATTATGAATGAGTTACTAATTTTGAAATCTGATAATATTGTAATATTGAGACTTGTTGACATGCGCGAGAAGGAGGATAGAAGAGTGACATGAAAACGATTATTTATGCTAATATGGCTACCTATGTGTAAGCATACAAATAATGTCCATTGAATGTTTGATAATATTTTTAACAAAAAAAGAAAATAATTAGAGTATATTCAAAAGATTCGACTTAATTTCTTTTAAGCTTTCGAAGTTCGTTCGTCCCATTTTTAGACAACAAAAGAAACAATATATGACTGATGATAACTTGAATAAGAATTATGCAACTTATGAAATTCTCCACCAGTTATTCTATGCACAAAATTTCAATGAAAATGTAATAGACATCGTGAATGGTATGATTCATAGGACCTTCACTCAATTCATGATACTATACTTCTGCACACAGTCATTTTCGCGCAAACTGAATTTTTTTCTATTCTACCTATGATAAGTTTAAATAACTAAAACGTGTGAATCTCTCGGTCAGTCAAACAGCAATATCTCTGTTTGTAAACTGTCCTAGATTAATAGCTCTCTCCTTCAGGACATGAAAATCGAAATTTTCTCGATGTTTTGTTTATCATTGATACATATATACTTTCAAGCGTCCTCTATACATTGGATGCATTTTGAGAACTCCATAATAGCTTTAAAGTTGAAAAATAAATTAAAAAGAATATTACATTTTTCTCTCCCGATTTCTCCGGCATAGTAAAAAGTAATGAGTTGATACTTTTTTTTTTTAACATATACTAGAAACTATTTGGCATGGATAGTTTTTGTTTCTATGATCTTTGTTTTAATATATGAACTATTATTAAACTGTTTAATTTAAATTATTCTAATTCTGTGATTTTTTTATTTTCATAAATAAACTGTTATAACTTTGAATTATGTCATTGCTTTTATTTTTAGGCATCGGACAAACTTAGAAAAAACGCATTGAATTCAGTTCGATATGCTGAATTTTGTCTTTCTAGTTGTCATAGTGGTTCAAATGAATCGACGCGTATTGGAAAAAATCTTGTATCTTTTCTTGGGAATTATACACCATATTTGCAAACATTACGTATTTGGCGACCAGATGATTTTCCTTGGACATCAAGTAAATGAACATTTGAATAAAAAAAAAACTCGTTATAAATGGATTTTTATATTATTTTAATGATTAATATTTTGTTCTCTTTCTCATCTTAGATGGAATATCTAAATTTAGATTTAATCATTTCTATAGAATAAAACAAAAGTTCAATTTAAAAAATTTCTTAAAATTCTATATCAATTGGATTTTCTTAGAAAAATCTTAACAAAGATATACTATCAGAGTTCGATATTTGAATAAGAACAAAATATTTTTCATTGAAATATTCCTTGATCATCTAAATAAATATAACATTTTTTGTTTTTATATTCAAGTTCGACCAGAATTTCGACCAAAATGGCGTCGTCAAAAATTGACTGATAAATGGTTAAAATCTTTAACAACATCTCAATCAATTAGTATGAAAATCAATTGGACTTAAATGAATAATAAAAGTTCTTTTTTTTATTTTTTAGCTGAACATGTTTCCATATTTGAATATGATCTTTCTCAATTAATTCAACAATTAAAACAATTTACTTTTCTCGATATTTATGGTCGAATTGATCGTCAAAAAATCGAACCTTACCGTTCTATGATTCAAAGACGTTTTCCTAATAGTCGAGTTGATATTCAAATAGGAAGATTTTGTCTTTGGTTTTGATCTTCTAAATATTATATTCACTCGTGAGGTAAACTGTACTCATTGGATAACTTTGATTATTTTCCTTATTATTTAATCATTAATAAAAAGTTTTTTTTCTCATTCAAATCTTTGATTGAATATTTATTTATTTATTTCAACACTTTTATAAAACACGATTTAAAAGGAATATGTGTGGATGTCAGTACAGATGAGCGAGGATTTGAATGATATTGTGAGTAGATATTGTTGCAGTTATTTTGGTCATCATACATCCATAGTTACCAGTGATTGGACAGTGGAGAAGTACAAATACTTGGTACTTAAAACATGTACTGTGGACTTTACTTGAATATTTTTTACTGCAGTACATTGATACGCAGTACATAACGGGTGGATCGAAAGTTTTCGCACAAAATGTTTGTTCATTTTTGGCCTGCTTGAAAGTATTTCAGATGAGTCAAAAACTATGGATTAAGACCAGAATTTTGTGCTCTTTCCGAATATGTGCTCATAAATTTTGTGTCTGTTTTTGCTCGAGAGTAATGAGGAAATCTTGGAAAGGCCTAAAAAATTGGTTTGGACGGCAAACAAACAGGTTTTTGCTAACCCTCATAAGTCTCTTTGCGAAGGTGCTAAAAATTGTCAGAGTCGGTAATTTTGTAGAGTGGACACTTCTTTACAAAATGTGATATCAAACTAAGCCGTAGCTTATACTCAAGTGAAGCTATTAGCATTTTCTTGGGAGCTACTTTCGATGTAAAACGCCCTTTCGTCAAAAAATCGATTCTTCAAAAATGAGGGTGATAGGAAAACGAAAATTTAGATGCCTTATCTGAAGACAAAAAGAAACTCAAATAGTCCATTTTGTAGAGCAGATTTTGCTCTACAAGCTGATATATCAACAAAAGTTCCAACTTTTGGTTTCGGATCCCAATACTGAAAATACGAAAATGTACGGAAAAATTTTTCGTCCAAAATAATTTTTTAGGCCTTTCCAAGATTTCCTTATTACTCTCAAGCAAAAACAGACACAAAATTTATGAGCACATATTCGGAGAGAGCACAAAATTCTGGTCTTAACCCATAGTTTTTGACTCATCTGAAATACTTTCAAGCAGGCCAAAAATGAACAAACATTTTGTGCGAAAACTTTCGATCCACCCGTTATTTATGTGTGCAAGAATTATGTTACGTTCCATCTATCGATATGAAATATGAGAGACATCTTTATTTTTACATCTTTCTCAAATAAACCAAATATACAATGTATTTGATTGCTCCATTGGAGAAACTAATCAACTTTTTCCCTTCCTTCCGTTCGACTTGAAGCTTAACTTTGTTGTTGTTTTTCTTCTGTATACTTTTGGCAAGAGCGGTTTTTTTTCTTTCTGTCTACAGTAACACAAACTTGAGCTCGATAACAGTTATTGTAATAAATTGTGAACATTTTCAACAATTTTTTGAATATATTAGATTTTTCATTTGTTCCATTTTATGAGTAGAGAAGAGTGATCGTGAATCGTGCTATCGTTCGTAAGTCGTACAATTTATAGATTAACCGAGTTAGTCAGAATATTCCATGAGCATATTTGCACGAAATACCCAAAATTTTATTCAGATATATATGTGTAAGTCAAAGTCAGATAATGTTTTCAAAAATATTGAAGTCAAACTTTTCGATTAGTTTCATACTAATTAGAAATCATCTTTATTTGTGTGATTGTTTAATGTAGAGGGCTATATGATGTAATGACGTCTCTTTCTGAATAATACTATGACCCTGTTGATGACATATGAAAAAGACTACTCAACAAAAGAAAAGCAAATACACATTTATTTTCTCTATCAAATATTCTTATCATATGACATCATTTAGTTAAAAATAAATATTATCAAATTCCCTATTCCCTATTCTCTAACAACGACACTTGTAGATAGTTACCAAAACTACAAACGCATCTACTTTGAAATTTTATATTTTGGTTATTTAAACAAATGGCTTTACACAACTTCAGCTTAGCAAAAACATGCGGAATCATTGGCTACAGCGCCTTTTTTGGGGGTTTAGGTATATTGACCATTCGTCATGGTGGAACATATATGTTTCAAACCAATTTAAGTCGAAGTATTTCAGTGGCTGCTATAGTCCCAGTTTCTTACGCAGTAATACGTCTTACTGAAGCAGTATTTTCTCTTAATGCGCAAGGCACACTTGCCGCAGTGACATTGGGTATTGGTGCTGCATGTATTCTTGATGGCATCGCTCACACATGGTTTCCAAGTGCTTTTGAAAATCCAGAGTTGCAGAAAAAAAATCCACTAGCAGCATGTACCATTTCCAGATATGGATCTGGCTGGTTACTCTTCTTTGCTGGTGCCACTCTAACAATGCTCGTATTCATGTAATATTTTAATTTGTTAAGGGATATTTATATCTTTGATATTTTATTGAATGTGACTTGTCTCGTATTACATATTAATTATGACCGTAGATGACAGAATCCTGATATTCGATTTTCTTCCATGTAGAACTTTGAATAGAGTATCCATTAATGCTATAAAAACATGAATAAAAGTATACTTCTAACTTTGTAGATGTGTTCAACAACTAAAATTTTTTCATATTTTACTCTCGATCTATGCTTTTAGTGTTAGTTGTAATTTGCTTAATAATATAAAAATAAATAATACCTTAATCATATTTTGAATATTTCACTTCATTCAAAGTTCCGAATTGAGATAGGACAACATTTGCATACTCTTTTCTTAACTCTTTTACAAAGAAGATCACTACAAATTTCTTATTTGTTTATGAATAATATATTCATTCAGGATTACCGGTAGTAGTCATCAGCGAATTTTCCTAGTGGAGATATGGGGTGTGGGTGTGGGTGGGTGTGGCTGTGGCTGTGGCTGTGGGTATGGGTGGGGTGTGGGTGTGAGTGTGGGTGTGAGTGTGGGTGTGGGTGTGGGTGTGGGGTGTGGTTGTGAATAAAGAATTCTCATACCCACACCCACCCTCTAGATGAACGTCATTGGTCTTTATTTCTTAAACTATTTAATCACTCTTTCCAAACGGCTATTCTGCCTAAGGCATGGAAAGATACTAGAATGGTTTTATTAGCTAAAAAAGAGTCTATCTGTTCTCCCTCATTAACTCGTCCTATTTCTCTTATTGACTCTTTTCTTAAAGTTGGTGAAAGGTTATTTCTTTCTAGATTTCGTGATGTTTTAGCTAGAAGAGGTTTATTACCCGATAATCAGTCAGGTTTCAGAGATGGTTTTCGTCTCCAAACTCGTTTATTGTTATTTCTGGAGGATATATATAGTCTTATGACAAATAGTGCCCCTGTATGTACTATCTTTATTGATTTTCGTTCTGCCTTTGATCAATTATGGCATGAGGGCTGTGTGGGCAAACTGAAGAGATTAGGTATTCCTCCTTCTTATTTAAGATGGATAGAAGCTTGGCTTCTTGATAGAAGGTGCTTTATTGAGATAAATAGTAATAAATCCAGATGGTTTTCAATTGGAAAAGGTGGTCCTCAGGGTAGTGTGTTAACTCCCACTTTATTCATTAGTTATCATTGTGATATGGGACAATTTCTTTCTCAATGTACTAGTCATTTTTTTGCTGACGACGTCGCAGCTATACTTGCAGGACAATTAGGAGTACGATACACAAATCAATGTATTGATCTTGAAAAACGTATTAAATCTTTTCTTGACTCACTCGAATATTATTCTTGTTTAGCTGATCAGCCCCTAAATAAGACTAAAACCGAAGCTATGTTTAGTGCTCGTGCAATAGGGTCCCCAAACTTCAACATTACATTTGATAGTGGTAATAATAAATCTATTAATTGGAAACAGGAGTACAAATATCTTGGCTATATCATCTCATCTCGACTTGGATGGGGGAAATTGCTAAAGGATACAGAATGTAAAGTTAGTAAGAGAATAGCACTTATTAAATCGTTTAAATTGTTTGGTTGTTCGTCTCCTAGTCTTCGTAAAGCTCTGTTTTGTTCACATGTCCTTCCATTATTCACTTGGTTATATCCTGTATATCCGCTATTTACTCAAAAGCAACAGGAGGACCTCTCTAGGTTTTATTACTCCTCTCTTCGTCGTACTCTATGTTGCCTCGAATGGAATGAAAATTTTTTTTCATATACTCTTGATGAAATATCTTTGGAGGATCGTTGTTCCATATACTGGAATAGATATCTTAGAGCTTTATCTAATTCGATTGATGGTAATCTAATTTTCGAAAAAGCTAACCTTGTTGAATTTAGGAAAAGTTGGTTGAATAAAGAGTTCTCCATCATAGGGTTGAGACGATCCAAAAGATTCGTCCCTTATACATCAATTTTGGAAAAAGTTTTAACTTGGCTTTCGTCAGTTCCTTCTAACTCTTTTATACCACATTATGAAATGTCTGAAATAGAGCTACTTCAACTCTTTCCCGATTCTTTTTGTGGGTGTGGGTGTGGGTGTGGGTGTGGGTGTGGGTGTGGGTGTGGGGTGTGGGTGTGAGTGTGGGTGTGGGTGTGGGTGTGGGTGTGGGTGTGAGTGTGGGTGTGGGTGTGGGTGTGGGTGTGGGTGTGGGTGTGGGTGTGGGTGTGGGTGTGGA